TAATCGGTAAACAAAATTCTTTAAAATAAATAGCAGTCGAGGCAGTGTCCTGTGATGTAAATTTCAAACAAAATGCTTAAAATAATAGAGAGTTATTGGTAATAAAATTGAAAAATAATTCGGAGTGCAAAGAGTTAATATTTCCAGCTCGCCACGGTATTAGTCGAAAATGTAGATACAATCAAAAATTCTAATCAGGAATCTATACAAATTGAAATGTCTATAGCAATTCAATAGGTTCAATTGACTAGATTTTGATCCCTTGATTTGCGTAAAAAGCTCTTCCCAGGTGACGACCAAAGTCGGCTTTCGGATGGAAAGCGTTAAACTTGGGTCTGCAAAATGTAATCGTCGAATTAACAAACATAACGATGGTTATAATTTATCAGGCTGCCATCGATGCAAATTTTACCCAGTAGTAAATTCCATTCCCAAGACCACGATTACTCTACGGCCACCTATTTCCACAGCGTTACCAAACGCATCCGTGACTCATACCTCGGCCACCAATTACCATTGTCCGGCACTATTACTCGAAATTGCCATCGAATTATTTATCCAAGCGAAGTCGTACGACGGCGAAAAGAGGAAGCCACACGACCGGAGGGAAAATCGTTATCGCAATCGGGCCGCGGCGTTTTTCCCAGTGGTTTCTCAGCGATGATGCATCGCGGTCAGAATTGCTTAACCCCGGCCAGTGTGAGTCATTAGAATCGAACACCATTGCGTACTTATTTGCAGAACAACGATGCTCGTCACGCTGGTGCGCGGCCGCGAGATAACAGCCGCGGCGGGCAGCGATGCAAATGAAAAATCGCGTGACAAAGATAGGGGATTACAGCTGTTGCGCAATCGCGCGCTTAATGATTTCGACGTATAAGCCAGCAGATAGGCGGACACCCCGTTTCCCCATTCGAGCCATCGGCACTCGTTTGCAGGGAATTAATGCGCCCCGCGGAACAATTAAAGCGACCCGTACACCTTTGACTATGGTTTACAGCTCCACGGATCGTGTACGATAGCTGCGAACGATCTATAGCCAGAGCTAGCTAGCCATCTTTGAGTCGCGTCGATGGCGACTGGGTAATGACGCAGGGTAATTGCCAACTTCGTTTAATTATGCACGTAGCCAGTGATGGGATTTACGTGGACCGGACCACGAGCGTTCGCAAAAATGGAGGATACTCGGAATAGGATAACGATTTTGGGTGTTTTTCGAGAGGACAGCGTTCACCCTACCGTGTTTCTTAACCCTTTCACTCGTCACGCTATAATAGGACTGCGAACGTGATAAAACGACGATAAATTTCAAAGTTGTTAAAGATTCAAAAATTTTGTCTGAACGCAACTACTCCAACGTGTCCTGCTAGCTCTTAGGATAGGAGAGAAATTTTGTTCAATTTGTTAAATTAATTCAAGGCAGAATTTGCACTACTCTCTTTGTAACTCAGAAGTGAAAGGGTTAAAAGAGGATAAAATAGCGAGGAATCGAATGCTATGGAAATAGAGATTGGTCCAGTATCTAGATTCAATCTGTAACAAATTTAAATGGAATTGGTAACCTGTTTGCTAAAAATAGCACCTCGTTTGATTTCATTGGTAATAAATTATAACCACTGATCGTGCGAAATTGGTCGACACGGAACAAGGAATAGAAATTTATGGTAATCATAGGAAACTCACCCAGTGTTACCATATTCAGATAATTATCACAGGGCACTGCTGCAGATCTTAAAGATAACCTACCACGTGTCACTGACGTTGATCTCCAAATAACAGAAAAGAAAGAACTAAAATACCGTGACTCTTTTCCCTGGCGCAATTGAACGAGACGCAAAACTCGCGGAACGAAGCGATTTGAAGAAGTGCGGCACACCGGGTGCGCAGGGGCGGCTAATTTTACGTGGTTCTCGCGCGGAATCCAAGGGAGGCCGTTGCACCCGCCGGTAAGTGCAATAACGCGATAATCCGTCGGTTCGATTTCGGCAGATATTTTCGGCGACGCGCGTGCGAGCACGCGAGCGAGAGGAGCGCGTGGCGGCATTTGCACGCGCGTTAAACGAACAGACGGTCGTCCATCGCGACAGCGCCGCGGGTGCAATTAAGCCGAGCAGAGTCGCATGCAAATCGACGCATTGTCTTGACCCGAAGTGGCGCGATGTCGCCGGGGCCCCGTTGCGCTTTCACGACCGCTCGCGAGGCCCTCGCTCCTCTGCCTAATTCCCCGAACGAGAGAGACTCGTCGAGACGCCTCTGCTCGCGACGTGCTCGCGTTGGTGGACCGTTTCTCTCATTTTTCCTTTTTTCTTTCCTTTCGTTGTCTACCGTCTTTGTCTCGCGAGGATGAAGACGATTTCATGGGATTTTTCGGGTGTGGGCGTTTTATGAGAGGACTGCATATGTCGATGGAGGAATCTTTCAGTAAAGCTAGATAAGATATATACTTTCGAGTGTAAAATTAGAGGTCCATAGTTATATTAATCCCTTGATACATCAGATCTTTAGGGGGTTAATAATATTAACACAGACGTCTAATATGTGTGTATGACGATACGAGTTGGTCCTGATGTGCAACTTGCATAATCACAAGTATGGACTTGTGTAATATTCGACGGAGAAATATTTCATTGCTTGATGGGTCCACGGAAAACATTGAAGAGATTTATCGAAATTCCTCAGGATATTCGTGACCTCGAGTATGTCCTTACTCGAGCGATTCCTACCTTCCCTCGAAGACACGTCACAAATATTTTTCCAAAAATACATATACATAGCACGGAGAGCTAAATCACGAAGATATCTGCCTATATGCACATATTGAACGATCCACCAATGCTGAATTATACGAATCTGAAGAGCGAAAGGAAAGGGGAACCGAACCGAGATCTCTGGCGCGTCGAGGACGAAGGATGCAAGGAAACCGATAGAACAGGAATATTTAAAGATCTCGCGTTCTCCACTCTTTTTTCTCGCGAACGTCACAGGAACGTCTGCGTGTGTCGTGGCAGAGCTGTTGGTTTAAGCGCAACGGGGATTCCGTAAGAGTCCTTTGTCCTTCCTCGATCCCAGTCAGGAACACCCTGGCCGGTTCGGTTCGCATAAACGGGAAACGGGTTTCAGTCAGAAAGAGCTTTGGTAGTTCAGCGTAAAAGAACGGTGCTTTGTCACGGGGGCAAGCGGAGCAAAAAGAAAGAAAAAAAAGAGAAAGAAAGAGAGACAGAGAAGGAAGGAGAAGGAGAGAGGGGGAGAAAAAGAGAAGAAACGAACGCACCTTTTTCAATCGGTCTCTCTTCCAACCCCGTGGTTCTTTCTCTCTCCCTTGGGTCGTGTGTTGCGAGGAGAAGGAACGGAGGGCGCAACGAAAAAGCTGATGTTAGGCGAATGCAAATGAATACGTACGGGGGAACGAGCATTCTGCAGCGTGCTTCTAATGTTTGCCCGATGCGGTTTCGCTGTGCATGCTTTTCGGATTTCTGCATGGAACACTCGGCCTCTTTTTAGGAGGAAGTTTTGGGAAAAAATTTGCCAAAGAATAGAGTGACTCTTTGTTGGTCGAGTGGGTTTTTGAAAGGTCTGCGAGGCTTGTTTTGTCTTTTCCTTCCCTTTCCTTCTCTGCTCTTTGGTCCACGGCACGTTGTATTTCAGAGAACCAGGGAATACATGGAATTCTTTTTAATCGGTCACAGCTCCTGCACCGATGATATTTCGCGTTATAGAATAGATTAATTCGTTCAGACAGATTAATTTGTTCATTATTCATGATACTTTGGCATCATATAAATTTCCACTCGGGTTTATTCGGATATTAATTTCCCTTTGGAGTATTAATTACCACGCACCGTGTCCGTGTTGGTTAATAAAGTTTACGGGATAATAAAATTACAATTACAACGTTATCTAGTATCTCGACATGTGGTAGCAACTTGACGCAAATGTTCCCGAGTATTCTCAAAATTCGATCGTCGACTAAACTTCCCGAATCGGAAACTACTCCTGCCCCCTAAACCGGGAAGTAAATTGTTGATTTCACTCAGATTATAAAATATATTATTTCTAATCGAAATTATTTATCGTGCTCTGCTTTATCCGGAAAAATCAAATGAACAAAACGCAGCTCAAAGAAATCATCGTGTCCGATAAGTAAAGAGAAACGAGCTAAATCCTCGATGCAGCTTATGCCATTCGCATACATGCGTACAAACACGTTCTTACGCGTATGAAAATCGTCAAATCGAGTACCGCATATGACTCGATGCGTGTTCCAAAATAGCAGCGGACAATAAAATCAATAATCGAAATTCTTTTTAAACAATGTCCCTCTGCCACCCTCGCTAAAATTGCATCGCACTGCGACCCCTCTCTGCCATCGTCCGCGGCTCTGATGCGGGAATCGAAGCGAAAAAAAAAAGGAAAAAAAAGAAATAAAAAAAAACAGGGCCGGTAATTAAATTTCATTACGCGAACACTCGAGACAGCAATGGAAAAAACACGACAGCCGGCCCATCGAAGGTCCTGTATTAAACGTTTGAGAGCCGCTGACCATAGTGATCGTTGTTGGCTTTGCTTTCCAAGCCTCCACCCCCTCGATCGACAATCGCAACCCTCTCCGCGGACCACGGCTGCGAGCGCCGCTCGCGTTTCATTGTTGTGAACGCATGCAAATTGCGATCCCGGTGCCGGGACGAGTATCAATTCTAACAGGATTAATTCGAGTGCAGTCATTGTTTTTTGCGCGTCACAAAAAAGCCCACCCCTCTTTCTGCAACGACGACCAGCGTTTAGCCTCGTTCCGAACAATGTCGAACCAGCCTGGCCCGGCCTAAAGTCTCGCCCCTGTGTCAAAGGAATAGTGGGTTTGTAAATTGCGACCAATGAGTTGCGAAATAAGGGTCGAGCGTGCGATGAACGGTGGTCCGATCGTTTGTGATCGGTTCCAATGGTTCTCCGTCTTTCCGTTGTATTTTCATTTTTAGTAATGAAGCTGAAATTTCCCATTCCAGAGAGACGATTTCACCGCAGTCAGCGCAGCTTTGCGCCATTATCTGCCAGAACGAGATACACCGTACATTCTCGACGTGGATCTGGACTTCTTCAGCACCAAGAATCCCTTCAAAACGCTCCACGACCGCGTGAATCTCTACGACAAACTGGCGCCTCTCTACGCTTTTCATCGACCCGACTCGACAGATCCTGAGGTGAGTCCAAAGAAACAGACGATATACGATAAAAATCATTATTCGACAATCTTGTTGAAAAGACACGATACTTATCGCAATAATTGCATGCAAGCATCTACTAGTAACTGGGACTAACAGGAACCGCGTTTGGCTAAAATTTCGCTCTCGATCTAATCGTTAACACTCGTTTCTTATCTTCCTCCCAAGTCAACTCGCTTTATGATCCCAAACATGTCCAGAAGGCAAGCTATGACTCCGCTTAATGTATTTGCATAAATTGAACCGTGCAACCGTAACGTCGGTCCAACAGCAAATTGACTTCGCAACTCGCCCGAGCTAAGAAAAGAAGGGTGGGGGGAGAAAAAGGAAGAACAGGGTACGAAACGCGATCGGTGCGTTAAACGCTGCCATCTCGTATCAGATCGGCCGGAACCGGATTCGAAGAATGGGGGGTCCCACGATTTAATTGCGGCCACGTCTCGGCAAGACGCGAAATCTCGAGTCGTCCAAGGAACCCTCCCCTAGACAATCGGTCGTAAGCCAGCCAGTTCGAACTAGAGCTGAATTACACGGCGAACAACGAGCCCCTGGGCCAAAGACGGAATTTCGCGAAGCCGAGAGCTACTGCGATAGAGAGTGAACTATGGAGAAGGACAGACGGAGAAAGACAGAGGGGGCGGAGGGGTATGTACTGGCAACGAGCGGAAGATTTGCGAATAATTAGGTGGGCCGACAATAGCCGGGGTCCCGTGGCAGACCGGATACACAATGTGGCCTGCCACCAGCGGGATAATAGACAGAGAAGAACGACTCTATGGGGTTTTAGGATTCGACGGACATAATGGCACTGGCCTATTGTCTACCTAGCTGCAGACTGCCAACATCCGCTTTCGAGGGCGGCTACGTCGGCTCATCTGCATGCCAGCCTTCAACCCTTCGAGTGTTTGGTTTCCAGCATCGTGGATGCAAATTTCCATCCCCGCGGATCCAGCCTCCCGATGTTCGATTGCCATCGATCACGTGAAACGGTATACGCGCCAGTGCGCCGCAGGTACCAGCCGCCATTGTTCTTAGGAAAGAGGAAACGATGAGGAGGGTGGTGATTCGTTGCTCTCGCGTCTCGAGCGGATTTAAGGTCGCTCTGTAGTATTGGTCCTTGCGATTTTCCAGGGATCCGTATCCAAGAGGATTGCTCGTGGTTCCGATATACATAGCTCATACACGAAAGCACTCGAACCCTTGCATTTGCTAAACGTGTACAACACGAAGGTAATAATTATTTTTCCTACGGTATATATTCTACGCAAAATCTTGCACGTATTATCCAAGCTTTATCCCAAATATCAAAACGATGATGCTCATTCGAAAAACGTGTCTACCTATCGTCCGTCAAGCTGCACCGAGGTCCCCGAGCGATGTTATCGAACTCTAAGAGGAACGTTTATAAGAATCGTTGCGGATCCATCGGGCCCATGTCACAATACACGATCTTCCAATTAATAATTCACGAAGTAAATCAGCGAAACCGTGACTCGTCCATTCATTCGACCATCCTTCGACTCTGCTCGTCCGGGGGGCTTCTCACGAATTTCCATGCGATCCCTCAGCCTACCGCGACCCAGTTCGCCGATCCGCAATGCCGATCCATCGGATCCACGACTTCTCACGAATTTCCATGCGACCGTTCTGCAACGAGCGTCTCCTTTCGGATCGCCTGGATCGTAGGCAAGGAAAAAGATCCTCCACACCGTGGGATTTTCAGGCGACCCGCACGAAATATCGTTCGACGTCGTTATGCTAATTCGCTCGGTCCGGTTAAATGTGTGCCAGCTTATGGAGCTGGCTGGAAAAGAGTGGCCTTCCCCCTCCTTTATGGGCCAGCAGACTCTTCGTTCATGCTGTTAGCGCTTCTCGTGCATAAAATCACGCGTGCAGGAGACACGGACGCGAGCCTATCCGCGTGTGCACGCACGGTGGATGCCTCGGTCGATCTAATGTATGCGGGCACGCCGTGCTACCTGTCTTACCCTGAGAACTCGACGCCGCATTGTGATTGTAATCGCCGGCTCTGCAGGTCAGCCCGCGGCCTAACCGGGGTCAGGGTCATTCCCTGAATTATTTAAATTACGCAACCCGCCCTCCTACCTCGGCAGACAAGTTTACGCGCGAGTGTATCTCAGCGTGTGCGTGTGCAACGCGGCCGACCACCGTGACCTTTTGTCGAGCCGGGCGCGTTAGGGGTAGCGAAGGTGCAAATCGAGGGATAGGTAGCGCGAGAAGACTGCCGGGGTAACGATAAGGGACACCGTGAATGAGATTTAAAGGTGTCTCGTTGACGATGACGTGCTTGATCGACGATCGCTGTCGATGAGATTCGGAGAGGTTGGAATGTTTATATGTGGGAAAGATCTCTGCGAATGGATAGATTCTTTGATTATGGTAATATTTTGGGGTACGGTGAAGGGAGAGAGGAGGTAAGAATGTCGTTCAGAGGGGAAGGATTTGGCAAGTGAGGTTAAGCCGGCTGTAGATGGGAAGTAGAATGGGGTTTTTGGGTCAAGATGTTGCTTGGATTAAAGGAATGTTCGCTACGAGCGAATTTTACCGGGTTGGACATCCGAAGAATTTAAAGTAGTTTGCACGTGGTATGTAGAAAATACCATCACGTAGCCCTACGTGTACGTCCTCGAGTGTGAGCGTTTGTTAGGATACTTTGTTCGACGAATCGTGCCCAGCATCTGTCTTTATTCGTCTATGCTTTGATCGGGCCATTACGAGAAACGAGTATCTCCCAAAATTTGTTCGCCATCCCACGAAGGGTAGGTCCAATCGAATTATACCGTCCCGTTCACGATCCACGGTTCATGGAAGGCCCGATTGAATATCAATCGATGAGATCATCGAGGTTGGTCGAATCCTTTGGTGCCGATTCTTTTTCTCAGGATCGAAGTCGCGATGCCCCACCGGGATCCCAACGAAAGAAGAAATGACACGAGCGGGGGGTCCAGTATGCAAAATGGGCCCGTTTTCCGGCCTCCCTGAATATTGATGTGTAGCCGGCTATGCAAATGAGCGTGAGAATGCAGCTCGTGCCGGATGGTGACGCGAATAGACGAACCGGAAGTAAGCCAGTACCCCGCCTTCTCCCTCCTCGCGACGTGCCCTTTCTTTCGTCGAGGTCGAATTATAGTCGTTGACTTTTCTTGCCGGCACGGACCTTCGGCAGAGGAGCAACGCGATTTATTAAATCCGTTCTTCTTTTTCCCGTTCGATGCACCGGATGTGCCGTTAGAACCTCGTTTGCCTCGCTCACCATTAATATCCAGCAAGATTTTCAAACACCAAACCTGTATATTTCGTCCTGTACCTTCTCCATTCTAAATCGCCGGCGATTTCTTTCCCCCCGGAGATATTCAAATTAATGTTTAGCGAATTTATCGCGTTCTCCCGGGAAATTATCTCGGCAGGAAGAGACGGGAACCCGACTCGAAAAGGAAAAACACTGACCCACATGCATTCGGCCTAAACGCGCGCAATAAACGATGCACACCAAAATGGTTCTCGCGCGTAGACCGTTGTCGGAATTCGGGGGAGCAATAACGGCGAGGCCAGGCGAAGATTTCGCTGTTTCCGGGCCAACCCCCTCGGCTCGTTCCACTTAACGGCGTTCACCCCGTTGAAATATCTGTACGAGGCTGCACCGGCACGGAGCTTGGGAACAGGACGGAGATAAACAACGTGGAATTAAATATACAATAAAGCGCGCAGTCCTGGACAGCGAAAGGGCGTGGTGGGGGTGGAAAAGAAGCGAAACTGCTTTACCGGCTGCGCGTTCTAGCGGCGACATTTCAACCCCACCCCCACCACGGTCTGCCAGCCGCCCGCATAAATAAATCCAATTGGCTCGAATAAAATGTACGAAACGAAGTCGCGCCAATGGCCGGGTATGTATTTTATTTTCTCTCGTTTTCCTTTCCACCCCGTGTCAGCCAGCCAGCCAGCCAGCCAGCCTGCCAGCCAGCCACCCAGCCAGCCACCCGGCTGTTTCCTCCTCCTACCCTCTTTTTCTTACTCTCTCTTCCCTCTCTCTCTCTCCCTCTTTTCTCTCTCTTTGCTCCGTGGCACTCCGCTACATCGACTGCTCCGTCGTAGCGGCACGGTAGGATAATTCAATCGTGACTTTTCACGGATTTCCCATCGAAGGAAACACGCCAGTTACGCGGCGGAAAGATTTCGTTTTCTCCTTCTCGGCGCCGCCGCGGCGTCGTTCTTTAAAATGCTCGCGAACCTTCCTCCTCGTGGTTATCTTCGTTTCGCGTTCTTCCCTTCCGCGATGAGGTGTCTGCAAATGGCTGAGAGGTTTTCGGTGTCGTTCGCGCGGTAGAGCGCCGCTATTTGCTTTTCCCTGATTAAATTTTTGTTTCACCTGCCCGCGTCAAGCTTACACTCGTTCTTCGTACAATGTCTGCCGCCATTCGAATTTCTAACCCGCGTATTAAGTTTCCTATTTGAATACAGACATGGAGATTTAGTTCACGGGGTGTTGGTATTTCGCGTGAAAGGTTTATCAATTTTAAGTAAGGGAATAAATTTCAAAGAGAGCACAGGAGCAAGCTTGTTTGATGAATATGCGATAAAGATCGCTGGTGTAGAGGATTTTCTTCGATCACACCCCTCGGAGTAGTGGAACACACGAGCCTCTTTAAAACGGCCGGACGAAAACTGGATCACGCGGAGGGAAGATTTCTTCATTGGCAAGGGGAATCTCGTTGAGGTAGGTCACTCCCGTAATTACCTTCTCTCACGGAAGTGGCCCGCGTGCGCTACAACTTCAACGCACCACAGCTCGTCGGCCCTTCTCAAGGTCGCCCCTTCATCCCCTACAATTAAGCCCTCCGACAATTAAATCGATAAAGCCGCGGAGGCGCCCTTTATACCGCTGTTACCGCGAGGTTTATGCGTAGCAATCTCACCCTACCAGCCCTCGTTTACGTAACGAACCATCGAAATTACGCCATGTCGTTAAGATCTACCAACGATCCTGTTTAATAACGTAATGTTCGATCGTGCATCGCGATCCGTCGCGGTTCTGATCCGTGATACAAACTTTTCACCGTGAGAGTAACGAGGGACCTCTCAGTGTGCTCGTAAATGTAAAAATGGTGTACAATGTAATTTGAATAAGAGGGTGAGAAAAATTAGTCGATCGCGTAGATTGGTTATCGTTGAAATGAATAAGAAGAAAGTGAAGAAATATCGTTGAGGTGGAAAGTTTCGCTGGTTAATTTATTTTAATGGACGGATTCTAGGTGTTTGTATAATTCGCTTTTACGTTCCTATGATTCGTTCCTGCGAGAAGGCAGTTTATAAATAGTACAAGCAGTATAATGGACACTGTTTATGAAAGCTAAATAGCGCGTGTTGTATTTCATTACTGAGAAATTCGAGTTAACGGTAAGCAATTAAATAGTGTACACTTAGTTTCACCGTGAAATTAAACGACGACGTTGCTGGAAAACTCGTAAACGCGCAAATATCGTAATGCGTGTTATGACTGGCGTTCTATGGAATTTAGGATATCGTAACTTTGGATATCTCGCAAGCCTCTTTCGCTAAACAGAAACGACGTTGAAGTCTGTGGAAAGATAAAGATCTCTGGCGTGAACGAATTGCAAAATTTCCAT